GGATACAATTCACTCTGTGAGTGAATGTGCTTGCGTGTTACTTGGGAGATTCACTGGGTGTCACAGAGTCTTTGCATCCTGATCATCCCCACCAAAGGAATCACAGCACACATCACTCCCTTCACCTATATCCAGGAGAACACTTTTACAGACAGCAAGCAAAGTGCTACTCTTGAAGTGTATCAATTTCCAGTACAAAAAAATGCGAGGAAGCATTATATATTATTATATCATTTATAAAAGAGTAATGAGTCCTTTTCAGATGCTATAAATTGATTTTTATTTTATTTATTTTTTTTTTTTTTACAAATTCCAATGTACATATATATCCCCAGAGGAAAGAAGGAAGCATTTCAAAATATTCGAAAACAAATCAATAATTTCATTGATTAAAAGTAAAAACTGGCTTTTGTGTATTTTGTCATACACCGTCTTCAAGACACATTGTAGCGTATTTGCATACATTTTTATATCTGGACTGGGCCTGTATTTCAGATCCATGTTGTCTGTCTGGAATTTTGTAACATTTCTGATAAATTCTTTCATTGCTGCTGTTATTTTTGGCATGATGTACGTGCTGTTTAGCTGTAGAAAAGAAAACTTGTACAGCTGTTAGACTTTTTGGTACAATGTTTGTTTGAGTGCCAATCAACAGATACTGACTTCTGAAATACGTTATTTTTTTAGAGGTTTTGAATAAGTGTCTGAATTTTAGAAGCTTTTGATTCCAAGAAATGTTCCAGATCTGATAAAAATTAAAGACAACATTCATAGTGCAGAAATAGCTATCATGGATGGACAACCTATGTCTTGGCAAGCTTAGGGCAGTTCAAGAGGATGACAAGCCGGATCAAGGTTTTTTCCTCCCACTACCCAGTGCAGCACTTCAGGTTCCTCCTCTAGCTTATGATTTTTGACTGCTGCAGCTGAAAAGAAGTTCCAACTTTAGCTTCAAACCTGTCTGAAAGAAAGGATGATGGTTCAAGTATAATACCCCATAATGCACACACATGGACACCCATTCAAATGTATCTGTCAGATACTACCCTGTGAGCTTACTGAAGTATTTTATATAATTGCTTTTTCTTTTCTTTAAAAATGTAAATGGCCATAAAAGTTAAGGACTAAGTGGAATCATCTCTTTTCTTTAATTATGTGTCCACCGCTAATGAGGAGAAGGGAATAAAGGAACAAAAAGGCACTCCATTAAATGTTTTTCAACAAAACTTAGAATCGCTGAATGACTGAAAATGTGAGGGACCTCTGGAGAGGTCCTCCTCTTGTCTAACTCCCCTGTTCAAACAGGATATTTCATACTTCACTGGCAATTATTTTATTTATTATTTATTATTTATTTATTATTGCACAAGCAGTTCAACATATACGTTGTGATTCCATACAAGTACAGAAAACTTCCGTCATGTCAAAGGATCTATGTAACATGAGGGTGAGTATATGAATGTTGTGTATGAAGTTCCAGTCTTTTTGTGCAGAAGCAATAACTTTAGTTTTCTGTATATGAAGTGTACCATGCTCGTATAGTCTGTAGACATTTTGGTGATTATTCTTACTTCAGACCTGCTTCCACTTAATGTATCTGATCTAAACCCCCAGAAAGAATTCACTCTGAATTTGAATCTGTATGCCCATAAAATTTGCCTTTCCAGTTATTTCTCTTCACTGGGAAATTCTGCTCCACTTGCCAAAGTTCTTCATTGGTATTTCCTGTTATTTAGATGACTATTTAAAAAAAAGTTCAGTTATGTTTTTGAAAATTAAAAGTACATTTTATAGAATAAAAGAGACCTTGAAAATTGCCAGTAGTTTCCATGGCATTTATAGAAACTTCCTTCATTTTTTTTGTACATTTCTAAAAAGTTTGTATTTCTGTAAGTATTCATTGATAAATTTGAGGGAGCAGAGAGTGAAGTGGCTCTGCTTAAAGTTGGCATTTTTCTTCATTATCATGACAAGGTATATTGTATTATTTATGCCACATTTTATATAATAAAAATCACACTGTCTTGAATCTAGCATAATTTTAATGAAGGTTAATGAAATCTCCTCCAGAACTTTGAACTTAAAATTGGTTTTTTTCAATCATTATTTATAGTCCTGTTAGACTACTTGGACAAGTAGACAATAAACCTTTCAAAACAAACAAAAAAAAAGATCATCTTCACTCACAAAGCATTGAATTTGTATGGTTTAAAATAAGTGTATTTTCAACTAGAAGAAGAATGTGCCTAATATACAAATACATTTTTGTGCTACGGCACAAAATGGAACTGGTATTTTGACTCCATTTGGACCTCAAAGCCCACCCAGCCCAACCCCTGCCAAGGGCAGGGCTGCCCCCACCAGCTCAGCTGCCCAGGGCCCCATCCAACCTGGCCTTGAGTGCCACCAGGGATGGGGTACCACAGCTTCTCCGGGCAGCTGTGCCAGCGCCTCACTGCTCTCTGAGTCAAAAATCTATTATCTAATCAAAATCTCTCCTCTTTCAGTTTATAACTAAGTCCTTTCCTTATCACTGTCAGTAAAGAAAACAAACAAACAAACAAAAAAAAAAAACAGTCTAAAAAGTCCCTCTCGACCTTTCCTGTAAACCTCCCTGAGTTATTTGGAAGGTCACTATAAGGTCTCCTCAGAGCTTTCTCATCTGCAGTCTGAACAAAGTCTTTCTTCCTAGGAGAAGTGTCCAGCCCTTTGGTCATCTTCATGGCCTTCCTCTGGACTTGTTCCAACAACTCCACATCTTTTGTGGGCTAGGAGCTCCGGGCCTGGAGGCAGTACTCCAGGTCTTTCATCAGCCAACACCCCCTAGTCTTTCTCCTCAGGGCTGTTGTCAGTTCATTCCCCACCTTGCTTGTACTTGTGCGTGGGATTGCCCTGACCCAGTGGCAGGAGCTTGCACTTGGGCTTGTTGAGCTTCATGAAGTTCACACAGACCCACTTCTCAAGCCTAAGTCCCTCTGTGTAGCATCCCTTCCTTCTGTTGCATCAGCTGCGCTACTCAGCTTTGTGTCGTCTACACACTTGCTGAGGGTGCACTCAATCCCACTCTCTGTGTCACCATCAAACATATTAAATAACATCAGTATCAGTATCCTCAAGGAACACCCCCTTTATTCATCTCCTCATGGACAGTGAGCCGTTGACAGCAACTCAGAGTGCAACCAGTTAAATGGGTGGATATATGAATACAGTGAGTTTTAGAAGATGTATAAGAAATTAGACTTGTAATATTTAACTAGGATTACTGATGTTAAAAAAAGAGAAAGAATATATGTGAAATGTCAACTTTCAATGCATAAATGGAACAACCTTTCATTGCTACACCATCATTTTGCTTATTTGAAACTGTTCCTTTGCATTTTTAAAAAGGGAGAATAAATTTGAAGTAATATCTGTCTACCTGGTGATCCAATCACCCAATTAAATGTATATATTCAGTGTTGGCTTATTACATGATACCACGATACCATTCTGAAGAGCAGTTCTGTAATAAAACAGCTGATACAGTAGACAATGAAACAGATTGCATAAAAAATAAAATTCTCTCCTCCAACTGGAAAAAAGTTTTTAATTTTCCATTTAAGTATCAAATAGACTAAAAGAGCATATATTTCTATTAGTATGAACTGATGTAGAAGTTATTAAGAAAATTATTTTTAAATTGTGTTTGAAAAGGTAAATACACATTTTCTTAAAAATTAGCTGAGCAAAAATTATGAAAGTTTAACATATTTTCTTAATTTTCATATTTGCAGTATATTGTAAAAGTGGGAGAAAGATGATAGCAGTTACCTTGTTAAAACATTTATATTAATAAATCACATTGTTTATGTTTTTATGTCTGTCAGCTGAAACAGTACTTATGTACTCTGCTGTGAAAAAATCTTGCTCTTATTTTTGGAACAGGCATAGACAGCTGCAAATGGAAATGTACCACTGCACTGCTGACTCATACTCCCAAGACGTGGCAAAACTAAGCAAGGAATGCTGATGCACTACACCAACGTGCAAAGTAAAAGTTTCCCTCACCAGTGGTATCAGCTCAGGACATACCACCACACCTGCAATGGTCACTAGCCAACTCCTAAGCTAGAGTGATACCTTCTTGAAACTAGGCTGGCCCATGAACCATTACCGAGTTCTGTTTTTTTCCCTTGAGTTACTGATCAGATGCAATTCCTCGCCTTCATAGCGGTAATCTGAATTCATAAGGCAGTATTTGTTCCTTCAGAGTCACGGTATTGAAAACTATAGCATTATTGTCTACTACAGAAATATCATTTGAGACATAACTAGATAAGCAGCTTTAAAAGTACAGCTACAGAAAGCAGCATCAAATGTGGAATATATTTATTCTGAAACGTGACAGTATTTCAAGGTTCAAAACTATGCAAGATGAGGTTCTGACCAGACAGTCATTTAATAATACAACTAGTTTACTTCATGTTAACTTATTTGGCAGTTTGTCTCTGCAGACTATTACCTTGAAAAAAAATGTTCTCTGACTTCTTCATTCTGCTGTAATTTAAAAAAGTGACCTTTACAAGAATATTGTTTTACCACTCTTTAGTAATTCTCATTAGCACCAATGCTAATTAATTACATTTGAAATGTGGAAGGTGACAACTTACATCAACTGTTATTATTTAAAATGTACAGTATTTTTCTTAGGATCCATTCTGATATATTTGGTTTTGAAATGTTAAAAGTATCATATTGTTTATTACTGAATAATGTGATTTATGCTCTGTGACCATACTGGATTTTCAGCAGTGGGAGAGTGTTATGTAGAAAAGATGGCTTTTGGATTTTTTACTGTGTTGTATATGCACTTAATTTCCAGTACTGCTTCTTTCCTTTAGTTTCTGAATGGTGTATTTGTAAACATCCTTTAACCTCCTGATCTGTGACTTAAAAACTTCAGAAAATTTTATTCTTCAGGATTAATTTTATTAATGAATTCAAATTTTCTTTCTTTCAAGACACTCTTTTTAATGGTCTTGGACTTCGTGCTGTTATTGGCCTGGGAGTGGCGGCCCTTTTGTTAATCCTTGTTGTGACTGATGTCAGCTGCTTCTTTGTACGACAATGCGGATTGCTAATGTGCATCACCAGGAGGATTTGTGGGAAAAAGAGTGGCTCAAGTGGAAAAAGTAAAGAACTGGAAGAAGGAAAGGCTGCCTACTTGTGAGTATTATTTACATATTATAGAAACATAATTAAAAGAAAAACCTTGCTGTTCAACATTTTGCAGATTGATAAAGGGACTGTTACAAAAGATTACGGTTACTTGGAAAACTGTTCTCGTGGAGCTCTTAGAGCAGGTCCAGAGGAGGGTCACTAAGATGACCAGAGGGCTGGAGCACCTCTCCTATGAGGAAAGGTTGAGGAAACTAGGAGTGTTCAGCTTGGAGAAGAGAAGGCCCCAAGGAGACCTTATTATGGCTTTCCAATACTTGAGGGGAGAATATAAACAGGAGGGGGAATGTCTGTTTATGAGGGTGGACAGTGATAGGACAAGGGGGAATGGTCATAAACTGAGACAGGGGAGGTTTAGGTTAGATATTAGGAGGAAGTTTTTCACTCAGAGGGTGGTGAGGCACTGGAACAGGTTGCCCAAGGAGGCTGTGGATGCCGCATCCCTGGAGGCATTCAAGGCCAGGCTGGATGTGGCTCTGGGCAGCCTGGTCTGGTGGCTGGTGACCCTGCACATAGCAGGGGGGTTGAAACTACATGATCTTTGAGGTCCTTTTCAATCCAGGACATTCTGTGATTCTATGATTTGTGGACAACTGTTTTCTTAAAGGAGAAACAAAGACAAAAAAGAGGAGCGTGGACCATGCTTCACTTTAAGACGGCCATCTTATGCCACTTATGCTACTCTATTAGAAGAAAAATTCAATCATAGATCAGTGTAGGCACATTTCTGCACTGCTACAAATTCATCTTGCTTGGAGCTGCTAATACCCAAAAACTTAGCCTGTGGTTGTGGCAGTGCCAGTAGATTTGGAAATAAAAGCACATAGCTTTGTGGAAAATACATGAAAAAGTTTCTCAAATATAGCTATTACTAGAAAATCTTGGGTTTTGCCCATAGAGTTTTGGAATTATAAGTATTGTTTACTTTTAAAAATAGAAGTTCTGAGATAGATGTGGTTGAATTGTTTGTGAGTAAGATTGTTCTTCATGGCAATAGTTAATGCTTGCTAAAAATAAAGGAGAAAGAGCAATCCTGTTTCTCAAATATACCCTCATGTAGTGGCTAGATAAAAGGGAATGAAATGGTCATTTATGTGCAAGTTTCCTTAAATGATAAAAGCAGATGGTGAAATCTCTGGAAAAACAAGTTCAGTTATTGATTGCATAAAATAAGTTCTTTAAAGAACCAGTGTTCACAGGGTTTCCAAAAGATGAGACAGAGAGAGGATTACTTATCATCCCTTGTTTTAGGTGGTTCCATTTATTTATTTAATGTGGCAGCTTCATTTTCTTGTCATACGCTTCATATGCTCATCTAAAAGATTTTTTTTTAAAATGTACGATGTAATACCGGTGACAAGCTGTATTTTGTGGCATAAATAGCATTTATAAGTGCAGCTCCTATGCGGTGCAGCTCTCCCAGGATTCAGAACATGCACTTCATTCCTCTGCACCTTCCCAGAACCCATCTTTCCCAGATGCAGATCGGAGAGCAGATACGTCGGCCCTTATTATTCATAGCTACACTGGAGTTCTCTGTTGCCAGTGCTGGAAGTGTAAAAGTCTCTTTTATCGTTTTATTTCTGGCTATTGGAATTCAGACACTGTGCCTTTGTGAGGTAACCTGATTGATTTCTTGGTGGGGTTCTCAACCCTTTTTGAAACAGCTGCACAGAACCAAAACAATCATAAGCAGGCACGCAGTATTTACATCAAGTAATGTTTCTGAATAAAAGAAGTTATGCCTTAAACCAGATATTTCCTAATTCTTGACAGGTTACAGTCATAGAAAGTATAACACTGTTTTTCTATTGCGTGTAGCCAGCGTGTCCTGTTCAATAGAGTCAGCATTTACAGCGTCTGGCTGAGATTCAGCTGTCCTCTCCTATTGAGCACAGCACTTCAGTTTGTGTTTTAATTTCATTTTCAAGAAGTAACCATGTATGAATTGGTGTACAGACCCCTTCTGAATGGGAAGACCTCAGGGAGCTGCAGCTCTAAATGTCATTTGACAGCAGTTTATGCATTGCTGTCAACATCTGATACACAGATGCAACTCCATGTTGTCTAGAGCTGGTCGTGTAAGAGTAATTCCTCCATGACACTTTTTTTTTTTTTTTTTTTTTTTTTTTGCAAGAACAACGATACTATTTAATTATATTTCTTTCTTTGTTGTGGCTATCTTCAGTGAGTCTGATTATAAATAAGTTGAAACTGTTTTTTATTTACCTTATTCTTTGATTTGAATGTTAAGTGTTAAGGGTCAAAATTTGAATTTCTTTCATGCCAAATGCCATTCCCTAAAAGATGCTGACATTTCCCTCATTTGAATATGTCAGATCACATTCTGGATCTTTGAGTGGCTTCTGACTGCTCTCTGTGACACCTGTATTTGGTTACCCTGTGTTTTTAGACTGCAGCTGGTAGTTAGAGGATATGATTCCTGATTGGATGTCAGGAGTAGGAAGAAATGTATACATGGAAAGAGATTTTATTTTGAAAATATCAGATGTATCTTGGATATCCTTGGATATCCTTTGATCTGTCTTTCGAGATTCAAAGTATGTGCTGGTCCTATTAATAAATACTGCTTTAAATGCAAACAGTGCTTTGCATATCAAGACCATATTACCAACAAAAGTGTAATGACAATACTCACTGTTCTGTCCTCTTAACAATCCATTGTCCAACTGAAACAAAAGTTATTAATTGCCTTGTCTGTGAAAAATTAGCCCCTGTTCCTAAAATGGGGGAATTGCCACATAGAAACAGAGAATTTCTTCCACCAATCTGAAAAGAGTGGGCTTGGTTCTTATCACAAACTGAAACTGTCAGAATCTTAGAAGACTGAAAACACACTTAGGCAATGTGTATGCTGCAAGAATGGCTCTTTATACTTCCAAAAATTTCAAGCATAATTGGGCGTTGAGTTCTATACTTACTATACTGTGTTAGCCAAATTTATGTCTATTCCCATGAGAAGGTCATCCATTGTTTTATTATTTATTTGTAAACAAAATGCTCTTTTAAGATGCTAATCTATGATTTTTGTGGGATAGGTAAGTAGCCATGCGTACAGGATTCTTTGAAGACTTCAAGGAATTGAGGACACACTGCTAAGTGTGTCTCAGTGGTGTTAATTGTTGATAATTAGTTCCACTTTTTCTCTGCCAGCTTCTGAAGGGAAGAGATCTTGGTAATTAGTTAAGTGCAGTGTAGTTAATATGATGATAAAAACTCAGACTCTTTTAATAATTTTTAGGAAAGATGGATCAAAAGAGCCAATAGTGGAAATGAGAACAGAGGATGAAAGAATTACCAGCCATGAAGACGGGAGCCCAGTAAATGAGCCGAACGAGACTACTCCTCTCACAGAGCCGGAGTAAGTAGCCCAATATTCCCCAGTGTCTTACAATATTGACTGCAAGGCTGCCCTCACTCTGCCAGGTAAAGAGGTACATGACAGCCATGTGCTGTGGCAGTGCAGTTCGGCAGTGTGGTCTTTTTACAGTAGTTGATCTAAACCACAGTACCCTGAGGGCAATGGCCAAGATTATCACCAGGCATTTTTCTCTTCTTTCTGTGACCCAGACTCTCACTCACATCAGCCATGGGATGGCAACATAACAATTGTGGGAGTTCTTCAACATACCTGGATGTTAGTGAACATCTTAAGGAACTTTTCTTGCCTTCTCTGCCACTCTGACTCCCATAGAGCTCCTTCTGTTATTCTCTTAATGAAGACAGCACCCCGGGGATATGGGCAGCTCTGCCCTATCCTCACTATCCTTCCTACTATTCTTCTGCTGATGGCCCAGGAGGCCCCTCTCATCTCCAGCCATCCCAGCAGCCCATGCCCAGCTCTGGTGGGACGTGGGCCCACACCCCTCTGCCATCCTTGCTCTGCCTGCCATGTTGAGGGGTGGGAACATGAGGGCCTGGCCCTGCCTGCCTCCTTGGATCAGCAGTGTGCCAAGTATTGATAGAACTCTTATAGAATAGTCTTTTTAATCTTCTGAAAAATACTTGGAATTTGTACTGAGGGGTACTGCAGTGAACCAAGTTATCTAAGGAGTCAGTGGAATGTAACTGTAAACATTATACAAACTACATTAGGTCATGGCTGCATTAGCAGCTAAGCCACTGGTGCCAAATTATTTAATGTCTTTAAAGACATAGAAATGTGGTGGAACATGATAGCAGCAAAGATTAAGCTCAGATCTTTCTGCTTGTCCAAGTCAGTAGAACAGCTGGCAGACTGAAATATGAAACAGTTAAGATCAAAAATGTTTTATAATCTTACTGAGGGACTGGTCACTGGTTGCAGGGAAAATAGTTAAATCATTGGTATAGGTATAATGGATAAGGTATCTGATGGGTATTTGTCTCTGAGAGAATAGGGCTGCTGAAAGATACTAGTAATGATGACGATTTCTTTCTTGGTCATTTTTTTTCTGACAACAAATGGCAAAAGGCAGCAGTGCAAGCCACAGCTGGATGAAGGTCAGATGGGTTAGCTGAAGTTTCAGGGCAGTGTCACTGAAGAAACCATAGATGAGTCAAAAGCATCAGGCAGTCAGGACATCTGAAGGGACACTGGCTCTAGGGGAACACTGCAAGACCTTCTGCTCATTCACAAGTCATAACAGATAAAGCAGAGAAGCAATATAAAAAATGGGTGAGATGCCACTGAAGAAAAGGAGGATGCGATAGGATAAGTCTTTCTGGAGGAATAACACACACACATTCTGAACAACAGGTGCAACAGCAATCTTGTAGGGAAGAGCTAAGCTTGCAGGAGGGAAGAGCTTCAGGGATGAATCAATCAGGTAGTGTCCATACAAGGCAGGATTCATTATGGCTAATTTAGGCTGCCTTAAAGACTTCGGAGTTACATCTTCAATTTAAATTAGGTGAAATTTGTACTCAACAGAGGGAGACAGGAAATGTCTATGTATTTGAAAGGGATTATTTCAGTACAAGATGTCTACCTATGTGATGCCTGTCTCTTTCTTGAATGTGAATTCAGTCTAAGCTTATGCCTACCTTTCAGGGAGCCTTTCTTGCATTTTCTTTTTGAAGCTGAGCTACATGTACACAGGTACTGTATTGCTTTGAATGTAAAAAATTGTGTAAAATAACTAAGATTTTTTTCCACAATAATGTAGTATTTTCATTATATTTACTCATCATATTACTCAGTAACCTTCATTTAAACTTAACTCGCTGTTAAAGCAATATTTGGGATCCATTTGTGACAGATTAGCACAAAGCACTTTTTCCTGAAAGTAAAAAGTTTTAATAATACTGGCAGGAAACCGATATAAGTTGTGTATTTCTTACTGTATTTCTGAAATGTGATTAAAATTCCACGTGCAACATGATACTATAATTAAATTCCTAGTCTGATATTGTTATATTCCTAGTATTTGTTGACTTTTTTCTCCATACTAAGGAAGCTGGGTGAATTTCAGTACCAAAATGGCTAGGAGCCATTTTCCTATGAAATAGTCATCTATTAGAGAAGTGATTGTTCTAAATTTTGTGTGGGTAATATCAGCAAAATATTGTGATTAGGCCACATGCAGTGCTAGAGGAACTAAATAACATTGCTGATTGGTAATAGACAGTGTCTGAAAAACAAAAAGAACCTTTTAAGGTTTCCCAGTCCTTTTTTTCTTTGAAAATACTTCAATTTTAAAACATTTTGATTTGAATAATTAATGTTCACCCAGCTGAAAAATATAGAATGATTTCAAATAGGCACAGCTATATAGTGAGTAAGTGTAAGAAAACTAATGTAATTAAATCATTTAAACTTGATTTAGTTAGTTAAAAAAGGGAAACTACTGAATCTGATAATAGAGATTAAAAATGAATTAATATTTGACACAAAAGGAGAGGAAAATTTCACAAGAACAAAAATATTGTCCTCATCAGTAGGTGAACTGATCACACCATATCTAAAAAAACCACAGGTGTTGGGTTTTTTTTTTGAAACAGTAAGGTCACAGAATGCTGTACTGACTTTTTCAGTGAGGAAAATTTATAAACACTTTATATGTTTGTAGTTTATTTCTCTTCTTGCTTGCATTGAGAGCAAGGCTGATTGTGTCATACTGTTTGCATTTACCTGGATTTTGGTTATATCTAGTAATTTTCAACAGAGTTTAGCAATATCTTTCTATTTAAAATACTTGTACATTATTTGTGACATGTTCTTAATCCACTTCTCAAAAAGTATTTTATTTAAATTTACTTTTAATATATTGTCAGTTGCTCAGTTATGACTTAGGCTATGTATTTCCTCCTTTTCAGCACACCATCATTTCAGTAACTGCTCTGATCTTACATAAATCTTGGTTAAATATGGTTTATTTTTTTAATACCAGCTCATTTTGCTTCATTAGGCCTATAACACAGGTGTCTCATGAGTTGTGTTTCCTCTGCCTCTGTGATTTTTTTTTTTTCTTTTTCAAAAATAGAAAAAAAATTCTGCTGTTTCCATTCTTTCAAGTCTTGTGTTGTGGGCTGTTTCGTTTGTGTGCCATGTGGAACAGACAGTTGCTTGACAACATCCTCTATGTTCAAAGCCAGAGAGCTGATGATACACATCCCATATTTTACTGTAACAGAAGAAGTTAGTTTTCTCATAGATTTGTCTTAGATAAGATTACGCTCATTGTTCAACATCTAGTTAATTTCAGACAGATGAAATGTCATATGACTGAGAATTTGAGTATTGTTTTGTTTATTGTCTTTAAATGCTGTTATTACAAGACATTCCTAAAGAATTCCTCATACAGAATAAAATATAGCACACTGAGACATCAAAGCAATCACAGTGGAAGATTACTGAAACATTTAATCGTTGTTATGAATGGAAAAAATGCATATGCATACTACTCCCTAGTAAAAAAAATACAGAAAACAAACCCAAATTGGAATCAGTATAAATAGCTACTATGCCTGAGAGATATCGTTACAGGAACATCTACCTAAACCATACATATTTTTCACAGCTATATTTTTGACAGCTAACTAGCAGGAGTAGGGAATGATTTTTTAGAACTTTTTGAAAGAAATCAGTGTTTTATCTTTCCTGTAAATACGAGTGGGGATTCCCTTGATATTGGAATTTAGGATTGTACGATTGTAAGACTCGAAGGAACATTTCTGAAATTAAAATACCATCTGAATGTCTTCATGCATCTGCACAAGAACTGGAAGGGACTAATGTTAATTTATTTGAAAAAAAAGAACCTCAATACTAGTAATAAAATAATTATGTGTTATTTTCATTGACTGATGTTTCTATAAGCACTATGGACTGTGTAAAGAATGCACTCCTTGTAGATTTAAATTCCACATCATTTGTTATTTTTTGTAATGACCATGATTTCTTTTTTTTTCTGATAGGAAGCTGCCACTGAAGGAGGAAAATGGGAAAGAAGCTTTAAATCCAGAAACCATAGAAATCAAAGTTGCTAATGACATCATCCAGTCAAAAGAAGATGATAGCAAAGCATAAGATAAACTACAGCTTTCTGGATAATACATTTGGATAAAAGCAACCCCGTGACCAAAACTTTGCAGCTGACCTTAATTTCCTGGGAAACTTAAGCTTGGAATAGTTAGTACGTGTGTACATATGATAAAACAGTTTCTGTCTACAGTTCTTTTCTATTTTTTTGTTAATGGTTTTAGTATGTTGTTTTGCTGACACCAAGTTCCATGGTATAAATTGGAAAAATCTTCTGAATAAGAACTAAAACTTATTATATGAAAAAGTATGTCTTTTTAGAAGAATACTTGGCAAAGCACCCCTAACCACAAACCACACATCATATCTCTCCAGATCTTACAGGGCAATCTACATAGATAAAGTGCCATTTGTTATTGTATTTATTTCCATTTATAATCAAGGAAAAGTTGAGGTTGCCTTTTAAAAAATGAGCACCAATCTCAGCATAACATTTAAGATCTTATCACTGGCAGACACTCAATAGTCGTTCCAACTGTGCATATCACTTGAAATAAAAAAAGCAACAAACTGTCTTCAACAACACAAAGCCAGCTCTACCTGTAGTTTTACCTGGGTTCTCTTGTATCATAAAAATTTGATAACTATGATGTACATATTTAACTCAAAATGGCTGAATATTTTATTGGATATTGGCCTCATCCTAACTTTAGAGTGTGACTGAAAGGCCCAGGATTTTCAGAATGCCAGATTTTCTACATTAACCTTTGGAAGGTGGTGTGTAAACTGGAATGTAGGATATGTGTGGAAAGGGAACTCTTTTTTCAATAACTTTTGACTTCAAAGGAAACCTTCTAACACAGACTTACATTTGTTGCCCCAGTGTATTTATGCATATGAGTATTCACTCTTCTAACCATTCAGTCAAGGGATAAACTGCATTTAGATTTTCACCACAAATCAGTATGTGAAATATTTGAAGTTGGCCTTATTAAAGAAGTTCTCGCTATGTTATGAATTTTTATCTTATAACAAGATACGTAGGAACAGATGGAAAGACTTTGGCTAAGTGGTTAGGAACATTTTTAAATTTTTAATTAATCAGATCATGTAATAGTCGAAATACTTGTTTCCTGTCAAGCATTTTTTAAGATGATCTATTTTATTATTACGGATAATATGCACTACTTAGAAATTTGGCTAATTTATTTGATGAAAAGGAATATATTTATTAATATTGATTTAATTATGTCACTAATTGGAGTAATACATACTGCTTCCATTCCAGCATAGTGTATCCATATCTATCAACCTATTCAAAATATTTATTTGGAAGAAGTAGATAAAATAGTGGACTAGATTAGAAAATTCTACTTGTTAGGATCAAACTGTAGAGTACCTTGTGAATTTTTCACATCTAAGTCATACTCAAGGTTTTAGTGTAGCTTTATTCAGCAAATTATGTCCCCTCCATACTGTATCTGAATTTTGCTATTAGTTGCAAATTTCTACCTAATTTCACACAGAATGTCATCAACTCTTAGCTGATGTTTTATTGTTATGTCAAAGTGGTTGACTTTTGTGCAGTAAAGCTAAAAGTGAAATGTAAAAGAATGTTATTACATTTGAGGATAATGGCACATTTACCATCTTGATAACCCAAACATTATCGGATTTGAAAATGATGAGGAGATAATGAACTTTCAGATCTTCCTTATTTTTCAAAGGCACTAATTTTATCAAAAAAAAAAGAAAGAAAGAAAAGAAAAAGAAAAAGAAAAAGAAAAAGAAAAAGAAAAAGAAAAAGAAAAAAGAAAAACCAAGCACTTTTAGTTACTTTGGGAAAAACCTACAGTGAAGCTAGAAGTTGAGAGCAGAGGCATAATGCTGATATGGCTAGATGAGAAGCCAAATTCCCACAAAATCATAATCAAAATGAAAAGTATGAGTAAGAGCAATGATTGACAAAAGTAATGAAAAAGAATAATTTTAAACTGCTGCATAATAGTTTCTTTAAATGCTAAGGAATTACTTCTGGATAAAAGAAAGTTGAAGATATTCCTCTATAGCCTGTCACTGTTGCTCCCACATACTGCAGGCAGTATTATCAAGTATCTGCTTGCCCGTTAAATTTCTGTCCTGTTTCTTTCAGAGTAGTGTACACAGTGAGCAGAACTGCCTCCTACTTTATAATTAAGGTTGTCTTCTTTATGTATGTGAATATATATATTCTTTCTACAAAGTACATGTATGCAACTGGGCTTTCTCCCTCTACTGAAATGCAAGGAAGGGGCCTGGAAAATTCAAGTAGTTGGATGTGATTGATGTGGTTTGAACATCTATACCCCGCATCATCTCAAGCAGTATTATTGATAAGATGAAGGTACAAGACCTCCTTTCCTCTTCTGCCTGCCATCACAAAGTTAGGTGGTGCTGTGCATTCTCAAATAAGACAAGGTTCTCTAAGCAAATGGTGCTTTTTCTGAAGCCAGCACAATCATTTGCACAAGGTTCCTATACAATGGATGCAGGGCTAACACTGTCTAGGCTCAACTGTAGTTGCATTTCAACTTTTTAGTACTTCTTGCTAAAATTTATGCAAAAAACTTAACATGGCTTAACAACTAAAAGTTGGATGTTGTTTTTTTCTTGTTTTTGTTTGTTTGTTTGTTTGTTTTAACATAGCCTCTAATCCCACTGTGAAAAGATTAGAGGATTTAAAAGGTTTCTTCAGCAGATTTAGTATTAATACTCCTGTCTTACTATCTACTAGTAAAATATGCAGCAAAATTATTTCAATAATGGAAGCAAAAGCATTTCCTACTATATTGGAATACAAATCAAAATCTGTTTCCAGAAGTGTTTCTGATTATAAGTCTCTTGCCAGTTGGGCTGAGAATTGAACAGTTCGTTATTACTGGTAGACTGCTCCAAGCATGCCCCTTGGTCTGTGGACTAATAGGTTATCTCTTGTGTTTTGCCTCTGTGCTTTGCAGGAGGAAGCCAAACTGTGATAAAATTCTCAAGACCACTAGTATTTGCAAATGTTTCCAAATGAGGGACAGCGCACTGTAATTTGTAAGATGTGTGTAGAACTGGAGTAACCTCATGTCTTTATTTTCTTTTCTGATTCTAGACTTAAAAGAAAAAGAACCAGGTATCTGTATAAATGTCACTTTTATTGTCTAAAAGTAATTTTAAGTGTTGGCATGAAATGTCAGAAGAGTTGACAGAATATAACTATTTGTAAAAATAACCTGAATTGTTACGCCAGTGTACTCCACGAAGGAGTGTGAGAGGGCTGAAATTATGGACAAAATGGAATGTGGCAGTGACAATCTCTCTTCAACAAAAAATAAGGAGTAAAATTAAGTAAAATGACAGGTTTTTTTGTTGTTGTTGTTGTTTTTAGTAGCATTCTGATCTACCATAATAATAACAAAAGAAAAAAAAATTAACCTTTTACAATTTAGTATATAAATGTACTACAGAGAGGTTTTCTGGTTTTGTTTGTTTGATTGCTTTTTGGTTTTGTTTTTTGTTTGTTTTTTTACTTCTAAAGTTTGTGGGGTTTTTTTGTTTGTTTTTTTTTTGTTTTTGGTGGTTGCAGAAATATTTACTATTCTGGTGATGCTAATGCCTAATGTGACAAAGTTTAATTTATTTAGGCTTCAGGCCTTGCAAGAAATTTTTGTGTGGCTAAACCCATTGCTCATATGGCATCCAACAGACACCAGTGGAGTCAGCGTGAGCAGGAGGATGGATGTACTATCATAGAAAAGCTTGCAGGACTGAGCTTTGATATATACAGCATAGTTACACAGTGACAGTCACATACAAAGGCTGTTTGACAACAGTCCATAGTAGAGTAAATTCCACCTCCTGTCTTCAGCCTCTACGTTGATGTTCATCCAAAAAGTGGCTTTCTTTTTATGATGGTATTTATTTATTTAAGTGCCAATCATCAAACTGTAGTATAATAATCATGCCATTTTTCTGTTTCCTAGACCAGATAATGGAAATGTATTTGTGCCTTTTGATAGCATGCCACTTTGCTTTATTAAAGAAAAAATCTTCAGTAATTTGTCTACAAAGCCTGTTTAAAGTATATTTGAAAGCTTTACCATGATATACATTTCTGCTCAGATATGCTCAAATACTCATCTAAAGTAAACTGGAGACAGTACTTTCAATTCAGTTTAATATTTTAAACACAAAATTGGCAAAAAAAAGCTATTGAAATCACAATTCTAGTGAGGGTCATTGTGGGTGTGTTACTGCTGAAAAGATTCAAGTAGATGGAGCACATGGGGAGTATGAAAGGGTGTTTTGACCAATTTTTCAAGTTGAAGAGTCAGATAGAAAGTCTAGTTTTATTTAGGCACTTAGATATAAAACATTAGCATCTTTTCTCAAATCTAAAAGATGACGAGGAACATATTCCCACCATTTTACCTCTGGAGTAAAACTGCAGTGAATATTTGTTTTGCAGTCATTTGTGGTCTCATCATCCCTGTGTAATCTGTCATAGGAAGTCATACCTTTGTAAAGTGCTTGTGTCTGCTGGGTGGCATTCACTCCTGATTAAAGGAGAGGTCTACAGAGATGTGCAGAAAACACTGTGAATAAGGTCTTGGGGGAATCCAAGTCTCACTGCGGTTTAGGACACGAACTCACTTCAGTGGGGCCTGAATTTCATCCATTTATCTCAGTGAGGCTCCACATGTCTTTGTCCAGTTGAGTCGTCCAGGTATAAGCAGAACTTAAATATCCTATCAAGCTCCTGCTAACATTTTGCACGGGGAAGGCTTGCCTGTGGAGTTTGTAGTGATCAGGAAACACGGATAAAGGATCATGACTTATGAGTCCAGAATTAAGAAGTAAAGCATCCTTACAAATAGTTTGTTATGATTGCAATGTTTTAAGTAAAGTCATTCTACAAAGTATTGTTTCTTGTTAAATCACATTGTTTAACTTCAGATGCTTGTGCTGATCGATGCAAAGCATGGTTGAATGGATAATTTAAAAAAATGTTCCACCCCTTTTTC